AGAGAGGGCCCCCTGCACCAGGATCAGGTGCTCCCAGCGCCTGGAGATCTGCCTGGGTGTGGAGTGGAGAGGGCCCCGCTGCACCATGATCTATGCCCAGGAGGGGTGGGACAGCCCAGGCTTCTGATCCAGGCAAGCAGGTGCTCCAGTTGCCTGGAGTTCTGCCTTGGGGTGGAGTGCAGAGGGCCCTGCTGCATCATGCTCTCAGGAAAGCGGGCCAGGGCACCAAACAATCACACACACACACACACACACACACACACAGGTCCCAGGTTGCAAGGCTGGCCCTGGCTCCAAGTCTTGTCACCCAGGAGGAATCAGGGTTATAGCAGCTCTCCTCCTGCTCCCTGCCTGCAACGGGGGAGAGCACAATTTCGGCACCTGTTGCCAAGGTGCTTTCCATGATTCTGTCCATGGAGGTCCCTACCCTACTCCAGAGCAAGTGTTCCAGTCTCTGGCCTGAGATTAAAATGCCTGCATGGCCGCACTGCTGGGTCACCAAGGAAAGGTTGACTTTGTCTGCACCGGATTAAAAATGGCCTCTTGCTCTTGGTCCCAGGTCTAGGAAAATGCCTGCAGCTCTTCTCAGTGTGTTTCCCTCTCAGGCTCTCCAAGCCTCTCCCCAAGTCAGTTCCAGGACTTGGGAAAAACAAAGGTATGGCCTGGGTTGCTGAGGTGAGTCACAGAGGGTCTCCCTTTGCTCTCTCGTCCTGGGGCTTCACTCAATTTTATCTGCTGAGTGCCATTGTGGGGGCTGTTTGCCCTCGTCCTCTCTCCTAGGAGCTGGGGTGTCCTTCATGATTCCAGTAGATTCCCATTTTCTTTCTTGAATTAAAGCACACAGAGTTGATCTTTATGTACTATTTTGCTATTTCCAAGTGTCTGAGATAAGCTAAAAGACTCTAATCTGCCATCTCAGGAAAATAAAAAGGTGGATTTTTTTAAATAGCAAAAAACACTGTAGAAAAACAAAAACACACTGGGAGAAGATACGTGCAACTTATAGAAAACGGTGATCATCTCTGTAATGTAAAAAAACTCAAAAATCAGGAAGAAACAGAAACGTTAACAATGGGCAAACTAAACAGCTCACATATTCAGCAGGAAACACTCATTTTCACCCTTGATCGGAGAGAAGAACTGCCCTGTGAGCTTGCTGCAGCTTTGGGGTGTGTTTCAGAGTCTGGTAGGCTCGTCATCCTATTGTTTTATTTTTTCAGGAAAAAAAAATAGCCCAAAGCAGCTTGCTATCTTTGTGAGGTTTCTTATGCAGAATCATCTATGCTTGTCCATTTGTTTAAGCTTTGTGTCTGTAAAGCGCGTCTTCCTCATTAGGCCTTTAAATTTTTTCTATTTTATTTGTTTTTAGGTATTTAACACTTTTGGTGGCATTTTGAAATTGAGAGGTTCTTTTCATTACGTCTTCTAACTGATTGTGCTTGGTAAATATGAAAGCTTTTAATTTTGATTACTAGTTTTGAAAATTATTATATTTCTTTATTATTTATAGCACCTGTTGTTTTCTTTTTAGTTGATTCACTTGGATTTCCCAAGTAATCCATCTTATAATCTGGAAAAAACAGTTGTTTATCTCCTCCCTGCTAACTTTTATATTTCTCGTTTCCATCTCATCTAATTTCACTGGCAAATGCCTCCAGGACGACACCGACTCACAGTGGTGATGGTGACTTCTGCTGACTTACCGTAAGGGGCCGTTTCTCATGTTTTCCAGTGATAGAATAAGCCTAGTTTTGTTAAGAAAGTATCTAGAACATTTTTTAAGTGTGTTTATAAAAAATGGAGTTGACCGGGCGCAGTGGCTCAAGCCTGTAATCCCAGCACTTTGGGAGGCTGAGGTGGGTGGATCATCTGAGGTGAGAAGTTCAAGAGTAGGCTCACCAACATGTTGAAACCCCATCTCTACTAAAAATACAAAACAAAATTAGCTGGGCATGGTGACGTGCGCCTGTAATCAATTTTAATATTATGAAGCAGACTTTTTATACTTTTGAATTTAATTGGAAAGGATTAAGAAACATAATCATTTCTCGTTTATTTTCTTTGATTAGGATTTTGTGTGTGTTGTGTGTGTATACACACAAACTCACTCGACACACACACAAGGGTGCGCACAAATATATATGCCCTGAGTTATTAAGAGTTTGAAATTTTCAAGCTAGTGTGGATTTTCTTATTTGTAGTACAGAGCTAGGAAATGTTATCTATACTATTTCTTATAGTGGCATAAAAGAAGTTTTCTTTGTGGTATTATGGTCAACTTTTGGGAATATTCTGTGGATACTTGATATAAATAGGCAGCCTAAGTTCAGGGTACAGTCTCAAATCATTGGATACCTTTTATTTTTATATAGTATATATATTTATACATTTTTGTATGCTTGATCTACAGTATGCCGAGGGGTGGGTTAATCTGTTTTTTTACATTTCTCTGTTTCTGTAATATACTTTAGCTTGCTAAATATTAACAGGCCCATTGACAGCCACACACATTATGTATTTGTTTTAGATTTATTAAATTTAACATCATAAGATGTGCCCTTGTCAACCTTGGCAGTCAAGCTCTTCTTTCAACCTCTGGCACCTGGCAAATATTTATCTGCTTTTCATTATTACAATTTTTCCTTTTGAGAAATTTTATGTGAGTGGATTTATGTCGCCTTCAGCACGTGACTTCCGACATGAAGCAAAATGCTTTGAAGATGCGCCATGTTGTTGATGTGTCAACGTCCATTCCTTACTGCTGAGTAGTGTTCCGCGGGATAGGTAGAGCACGATGCTTTTCATCCATTAAACAGATGATGAACATTTGGATTTCAAGTCTGGAGTCATTATGAATAAAGCTCTTATGAACATCATATAATACTTTATGTGGACATGTACTGTTATTTCCCCTGGACAAATACCCAGGAATGAAATCTCTGGGCTAGGAGTTAAACTGCCACATTTGTTTTCCAAAGTCACCATATGCCATTTTGCATTTCCAGCCACAGTGCCTGGGAGTTTTCAGGGCTCTGTCTCCTCATTCACACTTGATAGCGTCAGTTGTTTGCATTTTAGCCATTTGGAGGTTGTGTGGCAACATCTCACTCTCAGTTCCTATTTGCTTTCCTTAATGGTTAAAGATATGGAACATATTTTCCTGTCCTTATTTGTTATCCATATATGTTCATTAGTGAAATCAATGAAATCTTTGATCTATTTTTTGATTGTGTTATCACCTTAGTGATTTGTAACAGTTCTCATCTACGTTTAAAAATTGGTATATAATAGATGTGTATCTTTTTGATATACATGTGATAATCTGATGCATTCGTATAATCAAATCAGGGGCATTGGGATATTCATCACCTTGAATATTTATCTTTTCTTTATACATATGTCTTTATGTATATGTATATACATATACATAAATATATATCTTTTATATCAAATACACAAAATATGTATCTTTTCTTTATAAGAACATTCAAATTATTCTCTTTTAGCCCTTTTGAAATGTATAATCCATTAATGTTAACTGTAGTCACCCTAATGATCGATAAGCCACTTGGTCTTATTTTTTCTAAGTGTGCGTTTTTACCCATTAACCTCTGATCTACTTTTTAGATTTATCTTTGTGGTTTTTAGCAGTTTTATAATGATGTGCACATATGTGACTCTCCTTGTGTTTATTGTGCCTGGAGTTCATAGTAATTCTGCAATCTGTAGTTCAATGTCTTTTTAAAGTTTTGGAATATGCTCTGGCATTTGATCTTCATGTACAGCATCTGCCTGATTTTCTGTCTACTTTTTGACTAGAACCTTCACTACTCATTTTCTATACCTTCTTGCCTTATCCCATAGTTTCTTTTGGTTTCTCTAGTATTTTCAGTCCTTTCAACTCTCAGTCTGGATGTATGTTTCTGATCTGCCTTCAGGTCAATGATTCTTTTTTCTGCTGTGTCTAAATTACTGTCAAATCCATTGATTGTCTTCTTAGTTTATTTTACTTTTCAGTCTCACGTTTTTCATTTAGTTCTCTCTTATAGTGTCAAATTTCTGCTGAAGTTCTCCACCTTTTCTTTTAATTCCTTGAACGTATAAAGCATAGTTTCTTTACAATAAGTCCATTGTAAATGAGTGAATTTATCGTATCTTTTGTAAATTTAAAACTTTAAATTTTGTAAGTTTAAAAGCATGGAAGGAAATACCATATAGTGCTTAAGGACACAAACATACGTAGTAAAAATGTAAAGAAAAGTATAGCATTAAAAACAGCAGACTCAGGGTGATGATTCCCTTTGAGTTAGAAGGAGAAAGTGGTGATTGGAAAGGGCTCAGAAAGTAGGAAATAACTGTTTTACTTCTCGCTGGGTGAAGATAACATGGATCTTCATTCTCCTTTTCCATGTCTTAAGAAGGTACAATCAATAAAAAGGCCAATGCACAGGTGTGTGTATGACATAAGGCAGTGAGGAGCGAATAGCAGGACAAACGGTGCAATGTGCACCTGCTCCTCTCAGCAGGGTTCGCTGGGTGAAGCCAGGGCTGAAGCAAGGAGTCTACGCGGGAGCTGGGGCTGAGCGGGCAGCTCACTTCAGGGTGGGCACAGGGGGAGTGCAAATATTGGGTCAGCGAGTGTCTGAAAGGCAACATAGTCTCTGGTGGATTTGACAGAGGGCATGAGATAGAAGAACGAAAGTTGGCTCTGAAGTCACTCTAAGGACCAAGGAAATCCAAGGATGGAATTTCCATTTACTGAAGAGGAACACTGTGGGAGGGGCAGGCTAAGTGAGGAGAAAGAAGAGCTTGGATTTAAACCCATGAGGGCTGAGGTGTTGTTCTTGTCCAAATGGAGCTCTCAAGTGCATAGCTGGAGAGGGGAGTCTAGAGTTCAGGGAGGAGCTCAGGTAGCCCAAAACGGAGGTGGATTTCACCCTGCATATGAGACACAGGACCTTTGCCTACCTTACAAAAAAAATAAGAACAAAATTGAAATATTAAGTTAGTAAACTTTTAAAAATTTTATTTACAGACAAGTCTACCACATCACCGTAAGTTTATGCTACTGATGGAAATGAACAAATGTAGCCCCATAAGGAAGAAAAGTTGAGAGATGTCATATGTCTAAAGACACGGTATCAGACTTCTTTGTAATCATATTTCTATGATAAATGCATAGTACAATTTTTGAAAGCATAAATATGATTTCTAAGGATTCATATTCTAGTTAATAGCTACAACTCTAAACATTACTTCATACCTCATTTAAGCTGATTTCTTTTTCTCCAGTCACTTTGCAAATGGAAATGTATGCATTGAAATTCGTGGCTCTACCCTCAAGATTCTCAAATTAAAATACAGCTACCATATACATTGCCAGATCAAATGCTTAGTGATGTTTGAAAATGTTCACAAAAGAACTATGAGCACATAAATTGTAGGATAGTCTATGGCACAGCATGTGTGATAAAGTTAGTACAAAGTATTTAAAGATATGTCAGTCAACTCTTTTTATATAGAAAAACAAGATCTTTTACATACTGAATGGAAATTGTGTAGAACAGAAGTTTTTAAAATTTATATTAAACATTGCTTAACTAGTAAATCCTGTCAGTGTAGAAATAATTTTTTGGTAATTCTCAAAGAAGAAAATAGTATACACTTTAATTCATGGTTACATAGTTGGCTGGAAAAATGCCAGTCTGACCTCGAAGCTTTCCTTCCCACCAATCAAAATGTGAATCTGTTTTTGATATAACTGTGATTCTGTCTCCAGCTTGAAAATTCAAATCCCCAGGCTGCTGTCCTTCAAATGAATACAGCGCTGTCACTTCTATGGGTGGATTCAAATTGCCTGAAACAAGAAAAAGTATTCACATATTTATGTTCTTTAAGGGAGAAACTGGGGTATCTGCTGGTAAGATACAAATTAACCACTTAGGGCTTGGCATGCTGGTGTCTTGGAGGCTGGCAGAAACCACAACACATAGTCTGTGTAATTTTCATCACATTATTAAACTTATTTTTCTCTGCACATTATATACCTAAGGATTTAGCACATGCTTCTGGTTATAATTTTCTAAATTTTGAATCATCTATGAGATAATACAATTTATATATTTTTCCATTTTAATAGAGTAGTCATTGCTGTAGTCTGAATGTCTGGGTCCCCCTGAGATTCAAGTGTTGAAATCCTCAACCCGAAGATGATGGTGTTAGAAGTGGGGTCTCCAGGGGCTGATGAGGTCATTTGGTTTCCCCCTCAAGAATGGGATCAGTGTCCTTACAGACAGAGCCTGAGGGGAGCTTCTTGCAACTCCCTCCTTGTGAAGACGCAGTAAGATGGCACCAACTCTGAAGGAGAAACCAAGCCCTTGCCAGACACTGAGTCTCCTGGAACCTTGATCTTGGAATCCAGCCTCCAGAAGTGTGAGAAACAAAATTCCATTGTCTATGAGCTGCCCAGGCTATGGTGTTTTGTTACAGCAGCTGGAAGGGGCTAAGATAGCTGTGACAGTTTCATGGATGGCAGACATGGGAGAAAGGCAGATATGTGAGCTCATGATCAAACCCTAGGGGAGTCAGCTTTAAAACCTGGCTCTTTACTCACTGGGCTTGAAGATTGCAGCCCAGTTATATTTTGCTGTTTCATCAGCAGACATTTCTTCTCCCTGGGCTTTGTGGCTGTTTACATTTCTGTGCTTAATTGATCCATCCTCTCAATATCAGAGATAAATTGGAATTAGCACAGGCAGGAGCATTTCTACATGTTTCACAAGTACTTCAATGCAATGTGTATATCCACGTATTGTAGAAGGAAGAAAATACTTTGAGAATTGAGCAGTTAACATGAATAAAGGACATTAAATATTATAAACCATATAACATCATAAAAATATAATGAAACAGACAGTTTTTGAGCACTCAGCTAAATTGAGTTTGATGCTTCTACACGTCATATAATTCTGTGCATAAATTAGGCAATTAGATGCACAGACATAGAGAAAACACCAATAACCAGACTCTAGAGCCAGGTCCTATTTGAACCCATAAAACAATAATAATAATAATAAAGTGACTTTGGTCCATCCGTAAGAAATAAAAATAGTCAACACTTTAAACTACTCTGACTAAAATACTGAATTTGTAGCTCACACAAGATGGTGCTACCGTTCTGTCTTTAAAGTACGTGCCATCTAGTTGAGTTCTAAAGAAATAATCCTAATAATAATTTCACTAGAGATAATACTGGTATAACTACTTTTTTCTATAATACAAATAATTTCTGTATATTTTATTTCATCCTATATTTACTTTTAGTTTACCAATTTTAAGAAACAAGGTTAAAAGAATGTCACCAAAATAAAATTTTGACATAGTCTAGAAACAATAGAGTAAGTTAAACGTTCTGAGTATACGATTAAATTCCACACATGTTAATGAGCAGTCACTGCCAGGCACTACGAAAGGGGCTGTGCTCTGCCCTGGACGGGGCACCCTAGACAGGGCTCACGCCATGCTTCCCTGTCATCAGATCAGGATGCAAGCTCATGCTAAAGAAAAATCCATCCTGGAAATCTCTCATTCATGATTATATTTAGGATATCCACTAATAAAGTTGAATCTTAATTAACCAGACCAAATCAGTGAAGACCCTCCAGGAACTCTGTTCTCCTCCCTCTTGTCTCCCAGACACGTTAGATAACAGGAAGAAATGAGTTAAAAGAGTGCTTGTGAACATCAGGGAATGTGCTGGGAGCTGTAGCCATCTTAGCTACCATGCATTTATACATTGCAGTCTCATTTGTAAGATCAAAAATGCATAATAAGGACGATGACAATGATAACAGCACCAATCGATGTGCATCTGGGAAGAGCAGCCACCGCGAATTGCTCAGGCACGTGGCAGACACTCACACACGCTCCACTTACACCGCCCACTGCAATGAGCCAGCTACTCCTATCCCACGTCACAGAATTTGAAACTGAGCCTTAGAGATGCCGAGTAATTTGTCCAAGATCAGGATCCAATGAAACTTGTCTCCAGGTCATCCAAGACCCTCAACAACCTCACAAATATTAAATTGTGCTCAACAGACCAAACTGACATTTATCACAGCATTTTACTTTTATGAGACAAATGTTCAAGGAGTATTAGCATGGTGCCCTGCATCACTGGGTTTCCAGACTGTACAAATAACAGCATCTGCTGCTATGGTTCCGGGTAATCCCTGATAACTGGATTGGTTCTAAGTGGTTCCGGGTAATCCCTGATAACTGAATTGGTTCTAAGCAGTTTCAGGAATATATTTTATGATGAATAATTAGAGAAATAAATATATTATGAACTAAGAAAGAGAAAGAAGGAGAGATCACAGACCTGGTTTGGTCCCTGCCCTCACATTCCGGTATTGTCTAATTTTCTCTGAAGTGCAGATTCCAAATGAAATGAGGAGAAAGCAGAGTGGGAGAGGAGGGTAGAGGAGCAACATGGGTGGTTTCCAGGTGCAGCTGAAGGCAAGGCCACCACTGAAGGTCTGAAGAGGCCGGGATCTCACATTTTTCCTTTACTGAGGCTAAGATGTGTGTTGACTGTTCCTTGTGCTGAATTCCTCACCCAGTTCCTCACCCAATTCACCGTAAATGCCTCTGCCTCCTGAGGAGGAGTACAGGAGCGTCAGGAGTTGAGCAGTTGTTGGAGAAACTCCATCCACATGAAAATCACAGGAGTGAGGCCAGCAGATCCAGGAGCCTACCTGCTTTCTGAGATAACAGTTCACAAGCCAGTTAGTGCTGTGCCCTGTTAGTTTTTTCTTTGAAAAACTCCAAATGACTTAAAGTTCCCCTTTAATGTAAATATTAGAAATAATTTTAACAAGGAGAAGTTTAATGCCCACAAATGAGTTCACTAAAAAAAGGTGAACCAAGTAATGATTCCTTCCACGAAGACAAACCTTCCTGGTTACCGGGAAGCAAACCCCACTGAGTTACTGAAAAGCTGGGCGTTCACAGGGGCCTTTCCTTCTGCACAACATATGCCTTTAAGCTTCATACTCAGGAGCTTACAAAACCGGAAGGATCTTTGAGGGAACTGGCCATTTCCTTCATAATGTTCCAGTTTAGTTCTGGTAGGGGTTATGTTTCCCAAACAGGAAGCAGAATTAGATTCCAGTCAGCACTGGTGATTGGCAGCTGCCCTGAGGCCCAGGATTAGAAAGGCTGGTCTGTGGATGTCCCTGTTTCACTTCCAGTCCACTTTCTCACGAAGCCTGCATAAGGTAGCCTCCTTGCAGCCAGCACCCCTGGCCTGACCTGTTTCAGGAGAAAAATCACAGCCTTGGGAAGGTCACGACTAGGGGAACACAGCCTTTGCCAAGAGCCCTATGAGGCAGAAGACAGCCCCTACAACAAAGTGTTATCCAGCCTAAATTGCGCGTACCGCCCCGGTGGAGAACCCCCACCCCGGACAACTATGGGATGGGTAAGAGGAAGGGGACGAATGCCGACGTTGGAGGGTCCAGGCTTTTGGTTATGAAACCATTCCTTCCAGAGTCCCTAGAGGGAAGATCAGAAAATTGGACGGTGCATTTCCAAGTCTTGTCTGCCTGAGAGGCCCAAGAACTACGCAGCTGGACCTTCCAAAGGGCGAAGCCAAAAGATGGTGTGAGGAAAGTACAGGTGATGAAGCGGATCATCACGCCTGACAGCCCCTCTGTGGGGCTGAGACAGACTCAGGAGCTCGCACGTGGAGGACTGAGTGTCCTGCTTCATCAGGTTTTCAATTTAAGGCTCGGGCCCTGGGGCCATGTAACTGTGACTTTTCTCTGCAGTGATGGTAAGAAAACATGAGGAAATCCTTGGTAAGAGGTTAATGCCTTCACAGCTGCTTTTAAAAAAATACAGTAACGTAAAGTAAGTTTTATTTAAAAAGTGGACTATAAGTCTTCCCTTTTATTTTTTTTCTTTAAGAACCTCTTTGGAGAATGGGCTAAAGGAATATTATCTCAGTCATAACTGAGTTACAATTTACCTTGCCCTGTCCTCAAATACAAACACAGAAGCAGCCGAGAAACCAGCCATGGCAAGTGAAGTTACCTTTGGGTCCCACAGGTGGTAAGTGAAAGTACGGGGGTTCAAATTGGAACCCCTGTCGCCACAGCACACTTAAGAGTTTAGTTTCTTATCATGAAACATTTTTCCTTGGTGCCAGTTATAGGAAGTTTCTAATAGAGAAAGGAACTCTAGTTCCCAGCGTCACATTACCACGGCATTCTTTGCGGGATCCGTGGCCTCAGCTCTCTTTCAGCCAGCTTCCCTCAGCTCCATCTCTCTGTAGGGACCCCTCCCTTCCCAGGCAAGTGCAGCCAGTCGGCTGACCTTGTCAAGTTCAGGAGTGCTTTACCAACTAGGCACCTAAGTCTAAGTCTAATCTTGAGTCTTTAAAAGTAAGAGGCTGGGTAAGATAAAAATTGAGATGTTTACGCTGTCTTGGTGTCAACATTTACACCTTAATCACTTTTGCTTCTAAAGGACCTGTATCCAAAGGCCAAACTTTTCATGTCTCTTTAACGTGGCCTGTAACATGGGTGTGAACCACAAACGGCGAAACACATTTTTAAACCTCTCAGAGCTTTCTCCGCACACCTAAGACCACGGCATCTTCTGCAGGTGAGCCAGACCATCACACCTGCTCTCCGTACAGACTCCAGGAGCAGACGCTCAACCCCCACAGGAGAACCAGCTGGGAAAAACACCGGAGCGGGCTCCCAGGAGGAGAGACCAGGGTGAAGAGAAAGGTCACCAACCCTAAACCCGTCAGGAACACGCTGACCTCGCTTCAGGGGATGCTGCTTAAGAGACATTTTCGACATATTTTTATCTGCATGATATAAATTTTTAAAATATGCTGGAGTACCTAAGTTTTTGGAATTTTATTTACATGAAATGTTTAATTCTCCGACAGGTATATATCCAGCAGCACACGGCTTTGTGACTCCAGTGACGAAAGTATTCAATGTGAAAAAATAAACAGGCTATTTTATGATTGTTTAACTTTGCCCTCAATTTGTGTCCCACTCACATTTGCTCAATTCTTTCCAGGGAACCTCTGAAGAGTATTTAAGACAGGTTGAAGGACCATTTTCACTATGGTAGATCTTAACAAGTTTTATAAAGCAGCTCCCAATAATAACAAAACATTTGAACGTGAAAAATAAAATTCTTAGAACTATAAAATTTATGGTGCTAAAACACAGAGAAAATGGAATAAGGATCAAATTGTAATTCAGAATCAGAAAACCTTGGCATTTTATCTCCATTGTAAATTCAAAAGCTTCTGGACAGCAAGTGTTAAGGAGATCACGTGCTCCTCAGAAGACGCTATAGCTCCCGGGGCTCAGCAGCGCTGTCCCCAGCACACGCTCCTTACACAGACGACACTGACCCTACACAGGTGACACTGACCCTACACAGGTAACACTGACCCTACACAGGTAACACTGACCCTACACAGACGACACTGACCCTACACAGGTAACACTGACCCTACACAGGTAACACTGACCCTACACAGACGACACTGACCCTACACAGGTGACACTGACCCTACACAGGTGACACTGACCCTACACAGATGACACTGACCTACACAGACGACACTGACCCTACACAGGTAACACTGACCCTACACAGACGACACTGACCCTACACAGAACACTGACCCTACACAGGACACTGACCTACACAGACACTGACCCACACGACCCTACACAGGTAACACTGACCCTACACAGACGACACTGACCCTACACAGGACACTGACCCTACACAGACACACTGACCCTACACAGGACACTGACCCTACACAGGTAACACTGACCCTACACAGACGACACTGACCCTACACAGGTGACACTGACCCTACACAGGTAACACTGACCCTACACAGACGACACTGACCCTACACAGACGACACTGACCCTACACAGACGACACTGACCCTACACAGGTAACACTGACCCTACACAGACGACACTGACCCTACACAGACGACACTGACCCTACACAGACGACACTGACCCTACACAGGTAACACTGACCCTACACAGGTAACACTGACCCCCTACACCCCCACCCCCCCCCACCACTGACCCTACACAGTAACACTGACCCTACACAGACGACACTGACCCTACACAGGTAACACTGACCCTACACAGACGACACTGACCCTACACAGGTAACACTGACCCTACACAGGTAACACTGACCTACAGCTACACTGACCCACACACTGACCCTACACAGACGACACTGACCCTACACAGTAACACTGACCCTACACAGAACACACCCCACAGTAACACGACCCTACAAACAACACTGACCCTACACAACACACACCCACACAACACACACCCACACAGGTAACACTGACCCTACACAGACGCACTACCCTACACAGACGACACTGACCCTACACAGACGACTGACCTACAAACATTGACCTAAAGACAAAAAAAAAAAAAAAACTGACGCTACACAGACGACACTGACCCTACACAGGTAACACTGACCCTACACAGGTAACACTGACGCTACACAGACGACACTGACCCTACACAGACGACACTGACCCTACACAGGTAACACTGACCCTACACAGGTAACACTGACCCTACACAGACGACACTGACCCTACACAGACGACACTGACCCTACACAGACAACGCTGACCCTACACAGGTAACACTGACCCTACACAGGTGACACTGACCCTACACAGGTGACACTGACGCTACACAGGTGACACTGATGCTACACAGACGACACTGACCCTACACAGGTAACACTGACCCTACACAGACGACACTGACCCTACACAGCACCTGACCCACACAGGTAACACTGACCCTACACAGACGACACTGACCCTACACAGGTAACACTGACCCTACACAGGTGACACTGACCCTACACAGGTGACACTGACCCTACACAGGTGACACTGACGCTACACAGGTGACACTGATGCTACACAGACGACACTGACCCTACACAGACGACACTGACCCTACACAGGTAACACTGACCCTACACAGACGACACTGACCCTACACAGGTGACACTGACCCTACACAGGTAACACTGACCCTACACAGACTACACTGACCACAGAGGTAACACTGACGCTACACAGGTGACACTGACGCTACACAGACGACACTGACCCTACACAGACGACACGACCCACACAACACACTGACCCTACACAGGTAACACTGACCCTACACAGACGACACTGACCCTACACAGACGACACTGACCCTACACAGATGACACTGACCCTACAGGTAACATTGACCCTACACAGACGACACTGACCCTACACAGGTAACACTGACCCTACACAGACGACACTGACCCACCAGTAACACTGACCCTCACGACGACACGACCCCACAGACACACTGACCCTACACAGAGACACTGACCCCAGGTAACATTGACCCTACACAGACCCACCCACCAGTAACACTGACGCCCGCACACTGCCCTACACAGACGACACGACCCTCACAGATGACACCCTACAGGAACCTGACCTACACAGACGCCTGACCTACACAGGTGACACTGACCCTACACAGGTAACACTGACCCTACACAGACGACACTACCCTACACAGAGACACTGACCCACACAGTAACACTGACCCACACAGACACACTGACCCTACACAGACGACACTGACCCTACACAGATGACACTGACCTACATACATTGACCCTACACAACGACACTGACCCTACACAGAACACTGACCTACACAGACAACGACCACACAGGTAACACTGACCCTACACAGACGACACTGACCCTACACAGTGACACTACCTACACAGACGACACTGACCCTACACAGACGACACTGACCCTACACAGATGACCTGACCTACAGTAACATGACCCTACACAGACACACTGACCCTACACAGTAACACTGACGCTACACACCACTGACCCTACACAGACGACTGACCAGACACTGACCCTACAGGTAACACTGACGCTACACAGACGACACTGACCTACACAGGTACACTGACGCTACACAGGTAACACTGACCCAGACACACCCCACACAACACTGACGCTACACAGACGACACTGACCCTCCACAGGTAACACTGACCCTACACAGACGACACTGACCCTACACAGATGACACTGACGCTACACAGACGACACTGACCCTACACAGGTGACACTGACCCTACACAGACGACACTGACCCTACACAGGTAACACTGACCCTACACAGACGACACTGACCCTACACAGGTAACACTGACCCTACACAGGTAACACTGACCCTACACAGACGACACTGACCCTACACAGGTAACACTGACCCTACACAGACGACACTGACCCTACACAGGTAACACTGACCCTACACAGGTAACACTGACGCTACACAGACGACACTGACCCTACACAGACGACACTGACCCTACACAGATGACACTGACCGTCAACTTCTATCTGGGGCTCAGCAGCGCTGCCCCCAGCACACGCTCCCTACACAGTCAGCACTGACCGTCAGCTTCCTGTCACCTTCACTATCTTAAAGGCAAGTAAGACAACAAAAGCATAGCATTTTCTAAATGAAGTACTTCTCAAAATAATGTGAATATTCTATAAATTAAAGAAAAGGGTTGAAGACTTCCCAGAGATTTCCATAACCTATCAGATTAATTAGGAAGTTTGTGATCACAAAATGAATATGAATAATTTAAAACATATAGATTTATTGATTTACCAACTCTCTCGTGATAGCTGGAAAGTCCAGGATAGAGCTTATATTCATTTCTGTTACCTGCCAAAAAAGAGAATGGTGATTTTGAGAACTTATTAGTACATATTATATAAAACACACAAAATTGCCAAATCCTGCCCTGGCTGAGCCAATATTTTAAATCACTAAATTGATAGGATCATCATTTGATTGTGCCTGAATAAAGCCAAAAGATACATGAAGTGTAAGGTAGATATAAATACCTGATATCTGTATGACACAGAAGTACACACACTATTCTCATTAAATTCAGATGACAATTCTACTAGGTCCTTCTTCAATTGCGTTGAAGGAGAAGAAATAGAAATCACTGATTCATGGAAGGATTTACTGTGCACAAGAGCCATTCACTAACCACATCCACATTTCACATTGGATTCCTGTTCTGACGCTCTGGGGGCAACACAGTGTAGAAAGAGGCAGGATGGTCTGGGGGTTTGCTTTTCTTCTTCGACTGTAGAAAAACTGATTCTAACAGTATAGAAGACAAACAGTGAAAGGCAGATGGTCTGGGGGGTTGCTTTTCTTATTCAAATGTAGAAAACCTGATGCTAACAGTATAGAAGATGAAGAGCACACCCTGCACATGGCGTTCAGCTTTGAAAAGAACTTATCCAGGAGCTGGAGATCTGGAGATGGTGTGTCTTAAGTGACCTGTGCCCACACCCACTTTTGCAGTCTCCGCGTACTCCTAAAGACAGGCATACACCAGTTTGAAGGTCATTGGCCTAAGAAATTTGTGAAAGTAAGAATTTAGAAATAAACATTGGTGGGATGGGGGAAAGGATACAAATATCTCATGAGAATCTATTTTAAAAACGGATTAGAAATATTTTTGGGCAAGTGACCAGATATAAGACAAACAAAATATAAGCAAATTAAGATTTCCTTAACTGTGAAAATCGGTATTTAAGTAGAAATAGAAAAGTGCATTTCATTCGCCATAGCAAATCAAAATCGCAAAGTACTTGGGAACAAATTTAACATAAAAGGCACAGAAATGACAAAATCTTATTGAAAGACATAAATAAAATCTCAACAAATGGAAAGCATGAAATGGTAAAATTATTATATCTCAAATTAATCAATGTACACATGTAACATTATGTAATTAGCATTGAAAAATTATAGAATGGATGCAAGTACATAATACTATTTCAATTAGAATTGCATATTTGGGAGGAGGGGAAAATTGGGAAAATGATCTCAAATTACATGAAGACTAAGTGTCCAGTAAATGCAAAGATAAAAAAAAATCACAAGAAAATCTAGGATCCTATGAATACACTCTTGTATAGGAGGTGGGAAGACCTTAACCATGACCAAAGTATCCAAATCTATAAAAACTAAATGATAGACATATTTTTAGATAAAATTTAAAACTTTGATATAGTAAAATTACAAAAAACAAGATCAAAAGAAAAATGACAAATGTAGAAATATGCTGCAACCCAAATGTCCAACAAAACCTGTAATATAGATAACGTTTCCATAAATTGAGAAAGCAACAGATATCCCAATAGGAAAAACAGACCAATGAGATGAAGAGACTTTTCAGATAAGATTAAATCCAAAGCACCAGCAATTTATATGAAGAGATGTTTACATTCACTAATGGGAATAAACATAATCCAATTAACAAGGAGATGTGATTAGCCTTGACTGGCAAAATCTTCTAGATGCTTCTGCACTAATAGTGGTGAGGAAGATATAGCTGAAGAATGTCATAACGGATGTAATAGTTGAAAATGCACACAGTGGGGAATGAAAATGGTGGAGAATGTGTACAGTGGGGAATGTGCATAGTGGGAATGTCTATGGTGGGAAGCCTATATAATGGGGACTTGGTGGGAAGGTTACGGGGGAGTATAGATACTGGGGAGGACATATGGTTAGGATTGCACATAGTGGGTGGTATACATGGTAGAGAGTATGGTGGGCAGTATACACGGTGGAGAATGTATACAGTGGAGAATGCATATGGTGGACAGTAACCATGGTGAAAAATGCACATGCTGGGTGGGACACATGTTGGGGAATGCATATGGTGGAGTCTAGTGGGAAATGTGCGTGGTAGGAAATGCCTATGGTGGAAAGCAACTATACTGGGGACTATCATGGTGGGAAGGTTATGGGTGAGTATGTATACATGGTGGGGAGTATGTGTGGTTAGGATTGCGCATGGTGGGTGGTACACACGGTGGGGAATGCCTGTGGTGGGGAACGCATATGCAGGTGAATGTTATGGTGGGGAATGATTGATGAGACTCTAAGTAGTAAAAACTTTTGAAAAGTAATCTGCTAAATCTGTTAAAACTTTAAAAATATATTATTTGACCTATTATGTCCACTCATGGTAACTATCTCAAAAACATAAAAGTGCCAGTATATATAAATATTAATTTAGAAGTCTATCAATTGTGGCACTGTTTGGCATGGAAAAAATCTGAAATAAAGTTAATATCCATTAATAGGAGAGTGACTGAGTAAACTATATACATTTGTGCCATGGAATATTAAATAATTACTAAAAAGAAGCAATTACAACTATACCAGTTGACTTAGGGATTTGTATGTGGAGTTGTTGAGCAAAACAAACCAACAAATAACAAATAAATAAATCAAGAAGATACAGTAAAGCACGTATAAGATGATAGCATTTTTATGAGACAAAATAAAACTATTCTGGCCATGTTTATGTATATGTTTGTACATGTCATGTGTAGGACTACACAAGAATGGAGGAAAAAAATGTGGAAGTTCATAATTTATGTTGTGAACCTGGTTTTCCTGAAATCAGGGTAGAGGAGGATATCTTGTAAGTTAAAATACAGGCGAAATGGAAAAAAGGAAGCAACACGACAAAGGAAAAGAAAAAAAATACTGCCTTCACTGACCATCCATATGAACATATGTGCATTTATATAAAATTATGTGTGTGTGTATATATATGTAAGGATATGTAAATAAATTGAAAATACTTAGTTTTTAAATAAAGAACTTAAGAAAAGGTCAGGTTTAACATAAAAGGTTAAAAGTAGACACCAGTTTTAAATTTTTAGTTTACTGAATTAAAAACTGATGTTCAAAACTTGAGAGATACAGCACATGAGAAACGATGGCATTGCACGGAAAACCTGTAGGGCTGTAGCCACAAAGGATGAAGCCGAGAAGGTTTGTCGAGTGAGGCTGAGGCTGCAGAAACGTGGCCAGGCTAACTTGTACACCGGCAGGGACGCAGCTGTGACTGCAAAATGGGGAGGGCACCGCTCGTCTCCCCAAGAAAGGGTTCGGGGAACACACGAGGTCACGGTGGGAAACACCCAGAAGCCGGCACAGGCAATCGCTGAAGGGGGTTCTACAGCAGAAACAGCCTTCGGAGCTTTTCAATCGTTAACTGAAAGGCATTTTTTACGTTAAGGTCCACAGTCATTTTTAAATCCACACTGATAAGGACTTGATACTAAGAGGATTTTTATAAGTGAGAGGATTTTATACATGCATGTGCAGGTATCCATTCTCAGTGAGGACATTTTATATATTTTAAAACATACATATGGGTCAAATTTTATATAATCACTGAGATCTAAAATAAAAATAAATTCAGTGCTCACATCTCATTAGTCACTGCAAACACGAGTTTCAATAAATCAATCATGTGAACATGAATCAGCAGTGGGCCGACCACCCGAATCCCAAAAGAACAGGGGACAACGCAGGGGCAGGGGCAGGTGGGAAATGAGGAACAGGCCTGGCTCCTGAGCATCTTCCTGGGAGGGCCACATCTAGACCAGACAAAGGCACAGCCAAAAATCATATGAGGGACTTGGGCTCAAAGCTGGGGAAACGAATACAGAAAATTAAGGAGCAGCCCGAGGACGAGCTTCCTGCCTGCTGCAGAGCTTTACTATTTACTCCCCGCAAAACTCAGCATATGCCTTCTCCTACTAATAGCAGTTATGTTTCTACATGTAATCTCTCTCCTCCTCTTCTGAAAGTTCTCTAAAGGCCAGATCTACGTTGACATCACCTCTGTGCACCCAAAGCCACAGCACAATGACTCTTGTATAACAGTCAACCATCACCTCCAAGTCCCTACTTCAACATCCTCCTATTCACTGGTGACCTCCATATATAAAAAACAGACACACGAGAGTGATTCACAAAATGAATGATAGAAAAAAAGACCAAAGCCTGGTGCTTTATAAATGTCATCTAGTTTAAAAACCATCTTATGAAATCCTGAGCTCCAAAGAACATTATGTCGAAACCGATATTCAGAATTACAAATGTGTGAGTATATAAGAAAAAAACAGGCTTGTTTTGTTGTCATTTCAAATCAGGAGGATAACGGTTTCTGAAAGAAATGGCAAAGAAAATAAATGAGAAAATCTTTAAAGATAAATATCTTTGTAGATTTAAGAAAGTATCTTATGAATAGAAACAGAAGTTTTAATAAATTATAGCAATGACAATTTGTCTCATGTATTTAGAAGAGGCTGAGCACTTATTTTACTCTCTTAAATATGTTAGTTCTTCTATTTAACTCTAAAGTTTAACAATGTATTTTGATTTCTTAACAATAACATTTAATAATTACTTAATTACAATTGCATTTTAATTGCAACAAAAATATTTACTTTGAGAGCCAGAGTTCAGCTGGACTGGTGCAGGTGACTGCTGTGGTCTCGACAGTGGCTTTGGAGGTAATTCTTTAGCCTGGGAGAAACAAAAAAATAAATACACGTAATTTTAAATCTTGTTTTTACTTAGGCACACATAACTCTTTTCTAATGAGTTTATTTAGCAAACTTTTATTATATGTGCTTAGTAATGAGGCACTCTCAAAGCTCATATGCATCCCTCTGGACTCTGTGTAACTGAACTGGACGACAAGACTCAGATGTGGACCGGGTGTGCTCCTCTCATGCCTGGAAGCCAACGTCCCCCAGGCACCTCTGACCATCTGTGCAAGGTCTTAGGGAGCTGCGAGTTGCAGGGATGGTAATTGTAGTAATTGGCTTAGCAAGCGACTGGCAGAGGCAGTGGCAGACAAACTCTCGGCTTCAGTTTTTACTCCATGAAACAGGCATCAAACCAACTCTGAAAGGGCTGTGGAGCCCCATGAACAAGGCACACGAACTCCTTGGTGCCCCAGGGCCTAACGTACCAAGGCGCCAGGATCTGCAACTATTATTCATGTCATTGTTATCACTGAGACAAGGTCTTGCTCTGTTGCCTAGGCTGAGTGCAATGGCATAGCATGATCTTGGCTCAGTGCAACCTCACGGGCTCAAGTGATCCTTCTGCTTCAGCCTCCTAGTAGCTGAGATTACGGGCACACGCCACCATGCCCAGCTACTGTTTCTATTTTCATGATAGAGAGAGGGTTTCACCATGTTGGCCAGGCTGGTCTCACACTCCTGATCTCAAGTGATCCGCCTGCCTCGGCCTCCCAAACATTATCTGTATTATTGATACAACCAAGTTCCATCCTTGGAGAAACGCAACCACAAAAGACAAATGACATCTTTCCCTGAAATCTGTATAGAGGAAATGTCAAGGTAGCATGACCTTTTCACAAGAATGTGAAGTCAGTGAAACTACGAAGGAGGCTTAGTAGGTTCTTGGGAACCTGGGATCAGGGACAGAATGTTCTACAGAAAGAGATTTTCTGAGAATACTGAGTAGAACATAAAACCAAACGGTACAGAAGACTTCCTCTGCTCCCTTGCTGCTTTTCTTGCATTGATTCGTTGTCCTTCATTTTCATACTTTTCGGTAAAGGAATCAAGAATTTCATAAAGATCTTCAGCTTGAGCAGGCCGCGGTGTATCTCCAAATAAAATATCATAAGCTCGGATATCTTGACAATAAAATCTAATAGGAAATATAAAATTAAAAACATTTCAATATACACAAATCTTTTCTAAACACAGCATGTGTGCACACACGGTGTGTATATATAATCATTCATATATAGCACTTCATATACACTAGTTTTTAAACATTAACTTTAAGCAATATCCTATGTTCAAGTCTTAAATGTACCCCAAGTTCACCTCTACAGGCAACTACCGTAAATATCCTTATATGGATCCTTTCTTTGTTAACATAAAAAGCACATCCACATTATCATAGAAATACTTATACTTGCACATATATACATACACACATACTCATATATAAACACATATAAATATACACACAAGCACATACATTTTTATAGGTTTTTACTTTTTAAGTTTCTTTAAAAAAGGTGCCTATAACCGTGGCTTTGTAATTTCCTTAAAATATTTATTTTTATCAAGATTAAATAAACATTTACCTTACATGCTTGGAGGCCCTGTCATTCATTAAGCAACATATTTGTTTTAGTTTATCCAGGGTTTAGTTGAACTTTAGTGGGAAGGCCTGCCAACAGCCTCAAACCAGAAGTTTCTAAAAGTATTCTTTTGTTAACTTTTCTCAAATTAATAAAACCAGGAGTCAACACATCACTTTTGATTTTATAAGATGAATAGTTCTGCAAACCTTATTTTTCCCCATCCCTCCTATTTTCTACCTCTTGTGGTTTATATTTAGCTTTATCAAATAGTGCTGTTGGATTCCTGAGTGAGTCAGTGAGGTAAACACTGGGTGCTTTGTCTCGGATAGTGGCGGGTCTGTCTGCCACGCGTGGCGAATGTTAACGGCCAATGCCAGCGGGGCCAGCCTCATCAGGCTGGCAATTAGTGGAACTTCTGCAGGTTCTGGAAGAAGTCCTGCTGTCAGTCTTAGCTCTTTATCTCTTTCTGGGCCTTCACACATATTTTAGTGGCAATTTAGAGCCACTTAATTTGCATTTTAGGAAAAATTAGCCAGATGCAATTTAAAGTAGAAGCTTCCCTTTACCTCTTAGGGTACCTCCAGATTCTTTTTTTTTTTTCAATCAAACTGTATTTCTGTATTTTAAATTGTTCTCTATTTGACATAGAGAAAAGACAAAGGTGGAGTATAGAACAGGAAACCTCACAACAAGGAACACCAACTGACCCATGAGTTGTAACTGGTGTGCCTTCCACAAACATCTGAAAATCACTGAAATCGGTGCATCCAACTAAGGGTATTACTACCTTACGCTTACGTTTCCTTTTTTTTTTAATACTTTAAGTTCTGGGGTACACGTACACAATGTGCAGGTTTGTTGCGTAGGTACACGAGTGCCACGCTGGTTTGCTGCACCCACCAACTTGTCATCTACATTAGGTATTTCTCCTAATGCTGTCCCTCCCCCAGTCCCCACCACCCCCGACAGGCCCCGGTATGTGATGTTCCCTGCCCTGTGTCCAAGTGTTCTCATTGTTCAATTCTCCCTTATGAGTGAGAGCATGTGGTGTCTGGTTTTCTGTCCTTGTGACAGTTTGCTGAGAATGATGGTTTCCAGCTATCTTAAAATGCGAAGTGGAAAAACAGCATTTACAGTTGAATATATATGGTGATTACCATCATATATGGTAAGACAAAAAAAATCACGCTTAGGAAAATGTTGGAAGGCAGTAAAGCAAAATGTGAATTGTGTTAGTCTTTCAAAGGGATCGAATGTTTTTTCTTTTATTTTTTGTGTGTCTTCTGCATTTTCCATGAGCATATATTATTTATATATTTAATTTTTAAACGTAAGAGACACACTTATAACCACGTTGTAAAAAGGATATATAAATGTACTCTGCAAATTATATCAACTCTTTAAGTATTATTTTCTCATCACACTTTCAATTAAAATCACTTTAACTTGAACTGACTTTCTATTAGTTTCTTTCCTTTCAATCAAACAGCTGCCTTCTAAAGACACGCCTGCGAAGAGTCCCCTCGACTTGCAGTACGTGAAGACGGCGGCCGAGCTTCTCAGGGCCACGTTGCCTTCCAAGTTCCTGCAAAGCACAAGATTTTGCGTCACAAAGCTGTGAGCAGCTCTAAGCCCGAAGATAACTATTTAAATAGCACTCTTCTTCCAGCTCAAATGAATTATCTTGTTCTGTACCTTCTTCAGCTGTTTCTATGTTTTACTTACTGTAGGCCTAAATTAGATGTTTTAATGTGGCCTAGAGGAAAAACAGGCCAGGGGGAAGAACATACATGAAGTTATTACAGAAGGCTGTGATAATATAGAATTGTGTTGCAAAAAGTACAGTGCAGAATGTGTAAATATATTTTAAAAATTTGTAAGTCTGATATTTTCCAACTGGATCGTCCTGTCTTAAAACTGGGAAATACATCTCAAGAGTGCTAAATAATTTGGATTCTTTTTGCATTGAGTATTTTCATGGAACCAAGAACATTTTTAGATGATTTTACTGTGTAATTTCTATAAATAGTGTGGGTATAAAATATTTCTACATTGCACAATTAATCCAAGACTAGCATTTCATTAATAGAGAAGAAAAATACACTTTAAGTACCGTAAACACGGCTCAAAAAAACACATCCATATCCAATTTTTATGATTTACTTTGAAAAAGCTCTTTCTTTCCTAATGGAAGCTGAACTTTATCATAAAATCTGACTTGCCTTTGGCTCTCTCAAAGCTGAAGGTGGATTTTATGTTCAAGCCTGACAGATACAATGGCCTATGGTTCTAAAACATTTCATTATTTCTTGTGTGTTCTGGTTTCAGATTTTCTAGCTTATCTCACTGGCTGTGTTTTGCGAATTTCCTATTTGTGATGACCTCGAATCTTCTGGGCATGTATAAATCTGGAGATGTATAAATCTGTTCATTTTAATTCAAGTTTCCTATTAATGCAAAATAAAACATGCAGTTGTTAAACCTTTACTGTCTAACATCTATTTAAAGAACTCACCTTCCCAAGGGCCCGACCGCCACAGTCAAGTTCCCTCCAAGGGTTAGATTTCCGCCTTTCGCAAAAGCTTCCACAGCACGGTCATAATTCAGAATTATCACCAAGTCTGATACCTAAAGTGTAGAAACCCACTGATTTAAAAATAGTTAAGAGTAAATATCATTTAAAACTCATCTTGACTAAAACTCAACTACACCGTATGCATTGCAGCAAAACACCAATAGAAACAGGAAAGAATGTGAGACAAGAGCCATCTTTTTATTTTGAGCTGATGAATTTTGAAGCCAATATTGCCACAGGTAATTACAGCAAACCCCAGTGAGCGTTTACTGTGCACCATGTGGATACTGTGAGGTTTGCCTGCATCTTGTCCTTTAATCTTCCACACAACCTGGTCGTGTAGGTGGTGATCCTAGGGTTTAGTGGGGTTAGGTAAACTGTCAGTGCTAACAAGTCAAACGAAGGTTGAAGGAAGGGATCCGACATGCTCTCTGATCTCATCAGACTAAACACTTCGTACAAGCCAAGCCCGAAGAGCACAGCACCAGGGATGACGGAGCTGAAGGTCCCGAGAGACTTTCTGTACTTCCCTCCTGGCCAGTGGTGTGCTCCTTACTGGAAGCTGAACCTGGGCCACTTCACTATAGGTCACAGAAGCTCAACATATCAGAAAGCAAAGTAGTTTCCACTAGGAATGCCTATTTCCATGACTTAATTTTTCTTTTTTTTTTGAGAAAGAGTTTCATTCTTGTTGCCTAGGCTAGAGTGCAGCGGCATGATCTGAGGTCACTGCAACCTCCACCTCCAGGGTTCAAGTGATTCTCCTGTCTCAGCCTCCCGAGTAGCTGGTATTACAGGCGTCCACCACCACACCCGCTAATGTTTTGTATTTTTAGTAGAGATGGGGTTTCACCATGTTGGCCAGGCTAGTCTTGAACTCCTGACCTCAGGTGATCCACCCGCCTCAGCCTCCCAAAGGGCTGGATTACAGGCGTGAGCCATTGAGCCCAGCAGACTTAATTTTTCTCTAAATAAACGCAGAAACTACAATGAGATTCAACTGAATGCTCAAGGCAAGTCAACACAGCGAAATCATTTGTTTCTCAAATTCATTACTGCAGTGTGGAAGCACAAAGTTAGACCTGAAAAATAACATGACCCATCAAATGAAAGGCAGCATGGGTTAGAGGAGGCAGCATGGGCCAGGGGAAGCAGCATGGGCCAGAGGAGGCAGCATGGGCCAGGGGAGGCAGCATGGGCTAGAGGAGGCAGCATGGGTAAGGGGAGGCAGCATGGGCCAGGGGAGGCAGCATGGGCCAGGGGAGGCAGCATGGGCGAGGGGAGGCAGCATGAGTCAGGGGAGGCAGCATGGGCCAGGGGAGGCAGCATGGGCCAGGGGAGAGAGCATGGGCCAGGGGAGGCAGCATGGGCCAGGGGAGGCAGCATGGGTCAGGGGAGGCAGCATGGGTCAGGGGAGGCAGCATGGGCCAGGGGAGAGAGCATGGGCCAGGGGAGGCAGCATGGGCCAGGGGAGGCAGCATGGGCCAGGGGAGGGAGCATGGGCCAGGGGAGGCAGCATGGGCCAGGGGAGGCAGCATGGGCCAGGGGAGGGAGCATGGGCCACGGGAGGCAGCATGGGCCAGGGGAGGCAGCATGGGCCAGGGGAGGGAGCATGGGTCAGGGGAGGCAGCATGGGCCAGAGGAGGCAGCATGGGCCAGGGGAGGGAGCATGGGCCAGGGGAGGCAGCATGGGCCAGGGGAGGGAGCATGGGCCAGGGGAGGCAGCATGGGTCAGGGGAGGCAGCATGGGCCAGGGCACCCCTGGTGTGGAGAACCAATGTCCATCCCAGCTCCGTTTCTCGAGAGCTGTGGACCTTGTGGTCTTCTAACCAGCCTCTGTGTCTCTGACCACTCTGTGTTTAATATTTGCTTTACCAGGACCCACACCTCATGGAACGATCATCAGAATCAGATAGAGGTGTCAGGTGCACCTGGAAGTTGACAGAGTGCTGGCATGGGGCTCAGTATTTGGGCTCAAAAGTAAAACTAGTTAGGTGGGAACTCCACAACTCCCTTTTGCATGCTGTGCGACCTTGGGCAAATCATTGAGCTGCTGAAAGCTGCAATTTCCTTCTCTGGAAAATGGGTGTAATAATAGTGGCACACATTCAAGGCTGTTTAGGGATGAATTGAAATCAGTTCAATACAACATGCAAAGGTCAAGCAGACTCGTGTTTAAAATATGCCTTCATTATACAGTTATTCACATTTTTTAATCAAATCAATGCTCTCAAGTCAACATTTTCATATGAGTGACAGAAAAATCCTGTTATAACCAAATGAGATTATACTTGAAAGGCCCTAAGAGAGTTCCTGATACAAGCATGTTCTTCATAATGTTCAATTTGAATCATTTTATGAAATAAAATACACTTAAGATCTGTAGGACAAACTAAATCTACCAGATAGCTGACCCACACCCGATGCTTCAGCTTGACGCTTGCCAACTGTTCATTTTATTTTACATATAGACAATTTCTGAGGATTATGGTGCTGAATGACAGATAATTATTTAGCTTTTCTTATGCAAAGTTAAGCATTTTCGCCAATGATTGTATAACCTGTGTCTTATATGTATTTTTAGATAACAAATTTGCCTTGCAGAATACTTGCCACTTACACACTCAGAAAATACACATTTCTGCCCATGACCTTGTAGCTACACTGGCTCTTATGTTCTACTTCGGCTTGGTGCATCGTGGTACAGTTAAGTAAGGCCAAGCTATGAGAGGCAGCTGAAGGAAAAAAAAATTTTTGATTTTTTTTGTCTGATCTCTCTTTAGTTCTTTTGAAATAAGAATAAGACAATATTGCGTTTTTTGGTGACACTACCGATTAGCCCAAGAACCAGGGCAAAAGCTCTGCAGACAGCTTGGCGAGCCTGTGAGCAGCAATAGCCCTCAGTTTATTTCCACAACGTAGAACAAGGAGCAAGACAAATTTCCTGCAGGAATCTGCATCAGCTGAACAATACATTGGGACGGCACTCTCAGAAAACCCTGTAAGTATTTGACAAGACTTCTTTAGAAGTTTGCATTAAAACTCAATGATATCACAGTCTGATCAAAGAAATAAGACTTGCGTTTTATTTATGAGATCAGTAGGGTGACTATGGTTCACAACAATCTATTGACTAGTTCAAAGTAGCTAGAAGAGAATAATTTGAATGCTTCCAGCCTAAAGAAATGACAAATATTTAAGGTGACAGATATCCCAATCACACTGATTTGATCTTTACAAATTGTATGCATGTATTAAATTATTACAAGTGCCAGGAAAATACGTACTTCACTATAAATCAAAAAATAAAACTAAAAAATAAAACAATAACTCAGACGCAAGTGTTTCAATTAAATAAATTCTTAAATACAAGAACGTGAAAAACCACAGCTGCCATGGAGCGGAAGCTGCGGGACAGAACGTCCCTCTTCTCTGCGACTGAATGTCCCGAAAGCAGCTCCTCGGAAGGTGCCACCCCATCTCCCTCTCGTGTGGTCAGCCTGCTTCACACAACACAGCTGAGTCCTGGGCAGTTATCCTGTCAGAGCCTCACCCCCTTTTGGATGATTGACTGCTGTCCGCCTTCAAGCCCCACATCTGGACAACCGGCTAAGAAAGCTGGGCTCCCCCCTCCGGCCTGCAGTTCTCTCTCGCCACTCTTGGGCTGGGCTTGGAGCTTGCCCCACGCTCCCTACCCCACTCTCCCTAAAAGCCTCACTGCAAGGGGAATAAACCTCTCCCTCCCTCCTTGTGTGTGGCATGACCAGTCTCAATCTCTCAATATGCAAACCAAGCCTAAGTGGAGGCCCTCCCGGCAACTGCCTCCATGCCTCGGACCAACAGATCTTTTCCTTACATCCCATTCTTAGGGGGCTTAAAAACTGGACTCTGGTCTCTAACAATAATTTATCCTCAACTGTAACCCAGATACCTTCCTCTTCAGTAAGGTGAAAGGGCCCATCTAAATTCTCCCTGGAAAAAGCTGAGTAATTTTTGTTTTTTCAAATTCCAATCTTGAGTAAGAGCCAGACTGCTCTGGCTTGATGGCCCAGTGTGAGCTCTGGCGCTGGAAACACAGCAAAGGACTGTACACGTCCAAAGCCAAGGCAGCAGCAGGACTTTCTGAGCTTTGGGCTTTGCTACAACTGTTATCCAAAAAGAATCCGTAAGTGGTATTTAAACAAAATGTAGCATTATCTTTCCTCAGACTACCAACTTTCACATCTTCACTTCTCACAATCACAACTCTCTTTACCAATCTCTCTCTTTATCACAAAAACTTCCCCCTCCCCCAAAGTAATCCCTAATCCAGATACAGGTATTCAGTCACTAATTTAGACCATTATTCAGTACCTCTGATGTTCCAAGAACAGGGAACTCTCCGCCCTGTAGAATCTGGGAGTCTAAAGGTTGAGATTGTCAAACGTAAATTAACCCATGCCAGCCTTCTGGCTAAGCTTAGGGTCACTTACACTTACGGCCCTGGAAGAATGAGTCTGACATTCGCTCTCCAGTGAAACCACGGCACAATGCAATAAGCTATCCAGAAGCAGCCTCAGGCAGCAGGGGCTGCGAAGCAGCATCCTTTGCATAACTAGATCTTGTTAGTTAAGAGAACTGACCTTAAGAACACACAATCAGACCTTAAGAACGACACTAGAGCAGAGTACGAGTCTGAGGCAGAGGGAGTCATGGCAGGACAAGCGTTTAGAAAATTTCTTCCACTCTTTGACCGAGTAGTATTGGTTGAAAGGACTGCTGCTGAAACTGTAACCAAAGGAGGCATTATGCTTCCAGAAAAATCTCAAGGAAAAGTATTGCAAGCAACAGTAGTCGCTGTTGGATTGGGTTCTAAAGGAAAGGGTGGAGAGATTCAACCGGTTAGCGTGAAAGTTGGAGATAAAGTTCTTCTGCCAGAATGTGGAGGCACCGAAGTCGTTCTAGGTGACAAGGATTATTTCCTATTTAGAGATGGTGACATTCTTGGAAAGTACCTAGACTGATATAAGTCATTATTGAAATGGCATCAACATGAAGCTGCCCATTCCACTGA